GAAATATAATAGACCAATGAAGACACAACATCCTCAATGCTCCAGGAGGTTGTGCGTTTGGCTGGGAATAATGTGGGTGGGAAGGAAAGGAATGGAGTCTCTTGGCAGAGGCTTCTTGACTAGAACCCTGAGCAGGAGGAATGCAAGCAGGAACAAGAGGTGTTCCCCCAGACTTAGACTTCAGCTGATCTCCAGTCTCATGAGTTGCTGAAAGGGATGTGGAAGGGACCCTGCCAGGAATCATCAAGTTCTCTTCTGGTAGGCCTGTTGCCAATGACTGGCGGACGGTGAAGGCTTTCTACTTATTAGTATATCATATATTGCTTTGGTTGTTGCTTTTGAATGGTTTTTAGATCATTACGTCTGTGCTGTTTTAGTACTATAATTTATTTAGTAGTGTTTCAGCATTGTAATTTATTGTGATTTCTAACCATCCCTGTTTGTTTGTTTTTTTAAAATCATGCTGTGAGCTGCCTTGTGTTCTGAAAGTGACCCAAAGTGGAGTAGGATGCAAAATTAAATTAAATTAAATGATTTTTTGTTGCAAGAGAAGAGAGAAGGAGGGGGCAAGGAATCTTTCTGGAGTAAGTGGGAAGCACCTACTTACTGTGTGTAAGCCTTATATAACTCATTTATTCATCATTATTATTTATTTAAAAATATTTAGACCTTGCTGTGCCTTCAAGAGGAATCAAGGGGGCTTACAATATTAAAACCAACCATATAAAAACTAAAAGGGGAAAGCAACAAGAGCAGCAGTCGCTCTCTTAGGTACCTAATTACTGAGAAGAAATCTGACTGAAGAGGTCTTTGCCTCTCTGTGGAAGGACACTAGAGGGCCAACCTAACCTCCTGTGGGAGGGAGTTCCACAGCTTGGGAGCAGCAACAGAGAAGGCCCTCTCTCCTGTCTTCATCCAACACAGCTGTGAAGGTGGCAGAATGGAGAGAAAGCCATCCCCTGATAATTGTAAAATGTGGGCAGGTACAAAAAGGGAATGCAGTCTTTTGGGTAGCTTGGACCCAAGTTGTTTAGGTCTTTGTAAGTCCAAACCAGCGCTTTAAACTGTGTCCAGAATAGATTAAAAGGGGAAAGCAACAAGAGCAGCAGTCGCTCTCTTAGGTACCTAATTACTGAGAAGAAACCTGACTGAAGAGGTCTTTGCCTCTCTGTGGAAGGACACTAGGGGGCCAACCTAACCTCCTGTGGGAGGGAGTTCCACAGCTTGGGAGCAGCAACAGAGAAGGCCCTCTCTCCTGTCTTCATCCAACACAGCTGTGAAGGTGGCAGAATGGAGAGAAAGCCATCCCCTGATAATTGTAAAATGTGGGCAGGTACAAAAAGGGAATGCAGTCTTTTGAGTAGCTTGGCCCCAAGTTGTTTAGTGCTTTGTAAGTCAAAACCAGCGCTTTAAACTGTGTCCAGAATGGATCGGCACCCAGGGGAGCTGTTATAATGGGGACTCATGGACTCCCTCTAAGCAGCCCAAACCCATTAGGATTCTGCCATTATCCATGGCTGTCATTGTTTTTTAGTTGTGCAACAGTCCTGTGGGACGGATTATGGGTACAATAGGACATGGCGGCTGCAACCTCAGTAGCCACCTGGGAGGAGAAAGCACAAATCCACACTCCAACCAGAACTGTATGTACAGTCATGATGTTATGCTAAAGAAGTGGCATTGGAAGTGGTCACTTAACTCTTTATAGATTAATGGCTCTTGACCTTGAGGCACCATGATCGTGGACTACATGGCGATTTCTCAAGCTTATAGGAGTCAAACACTTGGTTGTGTTAACTAAGGCTTCTGCATGTTATAGTCTAAACATGTTTCTTCTTCGTGGTCTCTGTGAATGCACACTAATGGGTTAATCTGCACTTGCACAGAGCAGCCTCGGAACATTCCAGAGCTCAAGCACGTGGTGCTGGGACCTCCCACACGAATTAACCCCGCTCCTGGCACGGAGTGCCTCAGTTCCATTTTTGCCACTGCTGCAGCAGCTTCTCGGTTTTGGAGCTCCTGTTTTGCATTTCAAAAAAACACACCTTACTTTGACCTCCCAGCTCTCGACTTGGACTGTTGACGATTTCTTCGGATTTGTGAGTTAAACAAAAAGCATAAAACAGAGTTATATTCTTGTTCCCAACCTCTGTATTTTTTGTTTATGGCCACTTCGGGCCCTTTCAAACAGTGTACGACCTGCCCAAACAAGATAACATTGTCAGACGGCCATTCCCATTGCCTGTTTTGTCTGGGAGAGGAGCATCAGCCAGCCCTTTGTGTCCCTTGCAAAAACTTCACAAAGCCGGCACTTGAGCTAAGGCTACAACGCCTTCTCTCCTTCCTCTACAGAACTCATGGGGACAGTACGGACTTACTTTCCAAACATCCTCTCCCCAATTTCTTTGTGGTAGATGCCATGCAGAACAGGGCCAGGAACTGTTTAGCGATGACACCAAACAACAAGGAGGGGAGAAAACTGGATATTCTTAGCCATTGGGTCTGTTCCTTGGCTTCCTTCATCTCAAAGGTAACAAATTATTCCACGGCTCCTTCCACTTAACAGCATGGAGGCTACCCCCACTGTAGCCAACATCCTAAGCCATGCATGGAGGCTTTCACCGCACAGATGTACTCCTACAAATGGAGAGCCTTTTGTACATTTGCATCCTCACACCACTTCTGTGCAGCCCACCTCTCTTGACACAGTCCTCCAGTTCCTTCTTCATCTCTTCTGGCATGGCCTTTCTCACTCCACCCTCAAAGTTTATATGGCAGCTATAGTGGCACATCAGCCACCCTCTTCAGAAGCAGCAGCCTTGTTCTGCCATCCCACTCTCAAACAGTTCCTACGTGGCTTGAACTTGTGCTCAGCTTACAAGCCCCCTACTCCACAGTGGTCTCTTCAACTCATGCTCAATTGCCTCATGAGACCTCTGTTTGAACCTGTGGCTGTCGCGTCTGAGTGACTGCTCACCCTGAAAATGATCTTCCTTCTTGCCATTACCTCTGCACATCAGGCAGGAGAGCTGGCTGCTTTTAGAATGACCCTCCCTTTCTTCAGCTTCACCCGGATAAGGTGACACTCTATCTGGACCTTTCCTTCATACCTAAAGTGGCCACCTATTTCCATTTTAATCAGTCTATTGTTCTCCCTACATTTTCCCCTGCACCAACTTCACATGTTCTCCCTACATTTTCCCCTGCATCAACTTCACATCTTGAATGTTCTCTGCATTCCCTGGACATCAAGTGGGCCCTATCCTACTATGTCTCTCACTCCGCAACCTTCTGCACTTCAAATAGGCTGTTTGTCAGCTTCCAAGGGTTCCCAAAGTGGTCTATATGGATCCCTGAGGGTTGATTTTGACTCACAGTGGGTCCACGTCAGAGAGAAAAAAATTAGGGGTGCAAGTTTAGACTTATATCAAAGCTTTGCAGGGGGCAGGGGGTCTATGGAAAACAAATAAGTCGGCAATTGGTCTAATGGGCAAAAAAGTTTGGGAACCTAGAACTCCAGTCACATCCCAGATGATATCTTGATGGATCGTTTTGACTATCTAACTGGCGTATGAGCTAGCCCACACGCCCCTGGTGTACATCGTGAAGGCCCACTCAACCAGGGCTGTGGCTTTCTCCATGGCGTTCCTTAGAGGGGCAGACCTGTCTGACGTATGTAAGGCAGCTATGTGGGCTACACCATCTACACCCATCATCTCCTGAATGTCCAGGCCAAAATAGAAGCCACTGTAGGTTGTGCTGTTTTAGCCTATGTGCTCCCATGATGTCCCTCCTCTGGGTAAGTCAGCTTGCTAGTCACCCATTAGTGTGCATTCACAGAGCATATGAAAAGAGGTTACTGACCGGTAACTCCATTTCTTCGAGTGATCATCTGTGAATTCACCCCTCCCGCCTGTCCTCCCCTCTGTCCGACACGTATGCCTTTTGCATGCTGGGCAGCAGCGGGCTGTTCCGCGGAAATGAGGAACTTGGTGCTGGGAGCAGGGTGAAGGGTAGCATGTGGTAGGTCCTCACACCATGTGCTTGAGCTCTGGAATGTTCCGAGGCTCCTCTGCGCAGGTGCAAATTAACCTATTAGTGTGCATTTGCAAATGACCACTCAAAGAACCAGATTTGCAGGTAAGGAACCTCTCTTTTTTGAGGCCAAGTTGTATTTCCTTAGTGGAGGGTGAGTGTAGTCTGACATATGCTCTCTGCCAGAGGTCCAAATTAACATTTTTAATAAGCAAAGTTCTTATTAATGCTACTTTTGAAATGTTATTTTATTATGATTAGACTGTATGACACTTTTTTTACATTGGTAATAAAGGTAATAAATTTAGCATTAATTCTAATGAATAATTTCCAAGCCCTGTTACAGTTTCATTGAGAGGGAGGGAAAAAGTCCTTTACTCTCGCTTGGAGGTGATGGAATCTCATGCCGCTTTCACATTCCCTATTGAGGTATCTAATTGTTTCATGACAACTTAGACCACCGATGACAAACCTTTTGGAGCCTGAGTGCTCAAAATGCAACACAAAGCCAACCACGACCATCCCAAAGAGTCCCACTCCTCCAGCCACACAACCTCCAGCACCTGCCCTGCTCTCCCTCCGTCTGCAATCCTTAAGGGCACAGGCGTCAGGAGCCAGGTCTTTCCATGTCTGGAGTCCGGGCAGGTGTATGTGTGTGTGTTTGTGGCAGCCGTTGCCAACTTAGCTCTCCCTCCCTCCCCAATAGTTCTCCCCAAAATCCAGGATTGGAGGATGGGTAAGTATTTCTCAATGCCAACTTATGGTTCGTGAGCCCCCCAGAGAGGGCTCTGAGTACCAGCTGTGGCACACGTGCCATAGGTTCGCCATCGCTGACCTAGACTGATGAGAGTTAGGAATTTAACAAGAGTTCCCCCTTCCCCCCCAATGTGTGTATATATAAATATATAAATGGTTAGACTCATTGTATTCATGCTTAGACTTCCTTTCCCCCCCTTTCCCTTAAGGCACAGACTGCCAACTTGGTCTTGGAAGATGGAACCAAGATGAAGGGCTACTCCTTTGGCCATCCTTCCTCTACAGCTGGAGAAGTTGTGTTCAATACTGGCCTTGCTGGGTAAGGAGAATATCATTTGCCTGTTAACTCTAGGAAGTGTAAAATACGGCCTACGTTGATCACACTAGCTGTCTAATAGGCAACCTATTTTGAAAATGTATACATTTTTAAACCTTCAGCCCTCTTTGTGCTTTGCTTTTTACCTAACTGAAGCTGTTGACAAGCCTTTCACCTCCCTGGTTTCTCTCTACAGTGATTTATTCCCATATCTTGCAAGATCAAGGCTCTTGATGTCCTGCGTTGGTAGCCAAAATTATTCCTCAGGAAGGAATAAAGACTTGGCCAAAAAAACCCCAGACTCTTAGATGTCTGTGTTCAGTTCTGGCCAACAATCTTTGTTAATTTTCACATTATGAAATTATGGGAGTAGTAAGGATAAAATTATCTGTAGACATTTCTGGGTATTAAAACATGCTGGGTATACTATGCAGCAGATGGGAGGAAAACTCATCCCTGTGGAACAGAAATTTCGTAAGACTCCTTCCCAATAAAGTTCAAGATTTTAGGCCAAGATTGAGGATAGCCCCAGCACAGCTGCCACATCCTGTATGCCTTTCATTTATGTGAATTCGCACAGCACAAGATGGGTCCTTAAAAGGGTTTCATTGGCAAGGTAACAGTATATTACAGTACAGGAAATCTGTCTGCACGTTTTTGTGTCTGAAGGCAATTATTTATGCTTTCTGGCAGCACTAATTACTAGCTGTGTTAATATACCTGCCAACAAACAACTGTTTAATATAGATCAGAATGATGGAGAGTACCAGAGTTTTCTTCTCTGTGATAGATTATGGGCAATAAATCTTGTCACGTCACAAAAGCTAAGCAGCACCTGATGGATTAATTCCCCTCCAACAAAGCAGCTCATTGGCAGCAACGATGTTCATTTATTTGCAGACCATTCTTGGCGCTTGTCTTCACATGTATTTGTACTCAATGCCATAAAAATGTGTCTCAGTTTCAAGTTGCTCTTCTTCACACAGCAGTGTATCCTGTGAATCATTGCATCCTCAGGGTATCTCATAGGATCAGGCTCCAGAAATAAGAGACCATACCAGATCTTTACTTCCTTGTGTGCTTTTGTTGTGGTTCAGGGTCTTTGTGCGGCTTGTTGAAAAAACATAAACAGCACTACATGTCATCTTTTCAGCTTAGTCAGCTATGCTAGTAAACAGAACATGGCTGAAAGTGACATGACGTATTGACATCAGGACTAATCCAAGGTGAAACTCAGAGGAAGGAATAGGGAAAGCAAAATGATCATTCTCACAGATAGACACCATGCCTAATCATCATCATAATCCCCTCCATGGGCACAGGCCTTATTGGGGCGGAGGGTCTTACGTGCTTCAGTAAGGTTAAGAGCTATGCTGAAGGATCTCCCAAGCTAGACAGGTCTCAGCTGAGAAGCCAGACCAAGTGTGTCCACCAACCATCAATTATGATGAGAGGAAATAAACAGAAATCCATACCAGAACGGTCATCGCCCGGGTCAACAACGACCACATCAGATGTTATAGCCCCTGGGCTTCTGGAGATAAACGGGCTACAGGGCTCATTAGATCCTGTTGAAGAACCAGGACAGGCTGCTGCAAAGCTACTGGAACAACATAAATGGAAAACGTGGACTCTCACCAAAAATCGAGAAATTATGAAATGTTATTACAAGGCAAACCCAACAGCCCATGGTTTTAAAAAAAAAAGAACGGTGGGAATTTGGAAAAGGAAGCACCCAAACAGAGACATAACTGAACAACCATTAATGGACCAGAGAAGGTTTATCATCTGGAGTAAAGTATTTTCAGATGTGGAATTGCAAGAACTAGAAAAGGTGGCAAAAGAAAAAACAACATAGAACAAAGACCATAGTATGGAAGACAAATGGAGGGTAGAGGTAGACATGGTAGCGTAAGAAAATGTTTCACTAGGGGAACAATTTATGGAACAAACTAGAAATTATGAGTTGACAGAATTGCAGACATCACTGAGGGAAAAAATAGTAACCCATATTAGCCAGAAGACAGAAAGACAAAAGCTCTCCAAATTGTGTTAGTTACAAAATAAACCAATAAAAGATCTACTGAGTGATGAAAATATAGTCATCAGAACAATCCCAACCAACTCGCTAAAGGAAACAAACCAGCTCATGTATAGCTACCATAATAACCATGGAACTTGGTTACAGAAAACATGTGGCACTCCAAAATGGAAAATCATCTGGAAAGAAAAATAAACAAATTATATGAAGACATTAACAACTTAAAACACTTAAAAGATGCCAAACATAAACATGAAAAAGTAAAAGCTAGACTATGCAAAATATATGACCTAGAAAGGAAAACAATTGTTGAAACTATGGAAGAATTAAAACAGTGGGTAACAACTACAGCAAAGAAAATGGAAAGATATGATAGATGCTTGAAATAATATAGAAAAAAAAAACACAATTTCAAAATAACCAACAATTGTTCTATACATCACTAGGAGAAAATGCAGAGCAAAAGAAATTAGGCCCATGTAAAGACGATGCTCTAAAATTTTGGAAAGAAATATGGGAAAGCCCAACCAAACATAAAAAAATGCCTCATGGATTAAAACATTTGTAAAAAAAAATGGAATATATATTAACAACAACTGAAATGATTAAGAGGCAAGTAAAGGCTGTGAAAATTTGGAGTATACCTAGTCCAGATAAGCAGCACAGATTTCTGGATCCAAATGGATAGACACCTTGAACATAACACACCAGACATAGTCGTAACAAAATGAACAAATGTCTTTGAATCTGGATCACTGATATTGCAATTCCCGGGGATGCCAGAGTTGAAAATAAAGAATTGGGAAAAAAAAAACCAAAATACAGAGAATTGAAACATCTCACCTCTGGAAGAAACACACTTCCGTGGTCCCCATAGTCATTGGGGCTTTAGGAAGAATATCAAAAACTTTTACACATTGGTAAAGATACCCAACTCCAAACTCAGAGAGTTGCCACCCCATGGAGGCCACCAGGAGTAGTAATTGCAAATAAGGTTCAAGAGTTCCTGCTCCTTGTTTAGATCTTAGAAGAGCTGAGCTGGAAGGGACCCTATGGATCACTGAGTCACTGAATCCAGTCTCTGTCAAGGAGACATAGTGGGGAACTGGACTCCCAGTCTCTTGCTCTGCAGCAAGAGACCTAAACCACTGAGCTTTCTAGCAGTTGATAATTCTACCTTGGTTAATAATATACGGTAGTCTATTGTGGGTTGCTCATGACTGAAAAGGGCGACAGATCTGGAAGGGACCCTATGGATCACTGAGTCACTGAATCCAGTCTCTGTCAAGGAGACATAGTGGGGAACTGGACTCCCAGTCTCTTGCTCTGCAGCAAGAGACCTAAACCACTGAGCTTTCTAGCAGTTGATAATTCTACCTTGGTTAATAATATACGGTAGTCTATTGTGGGTTGCTCATGACTGAAAAGGGCGACAGATCACCCCAAACTTGTGGAGGCATCTTTCCCCCCTAGTCACAAGCTACTGGCAGTAGAGGCATAAACCCTTTGTGGAATGGCATCCTATGAAAGGGTGAGAAATGGTCTGGCGATTTTGACCATCTTTTTTTCCCCCAGGAGTAACTCATGGCAAGTAATGCAAATAATCACACTGAAAACCAGTGGATAGAGTGTGAGACTGGCATTCACAAGATCTATCTTCAGATCCAGGCTTGATCATGGGAACCTTTCCATCAATTATTAAAATTGAGAAGCAATGTGTGGTTTGCTTTTCCGTTTTCAATCAGCCAATTTTTCTGTGCTTGCTGTTTGTGTGTCTGTGCTTAGTTTCACGCATATATGTATGCATGCATGTACACATGTGTGTGTACGCACGCACGCACGCACGCACGCACACACACACACACACACACACACACACACACACTTGGTAGTTTTTCATAAACACATTTTGCACATACTGAAGAAACTTGACTAATTTGAACATGCATTGTCACATATGTTGTGCTATTTCTGTAACAAATGACACATTTTAGAAGGATATTTGCATTAAAAAACCCTCAAGAAGTAGAAAATGTAACTGTATTTCTGCCTTTACATTACTATCTATAGCACTAGTTATATTTAGTTATAAATGCATTCACACTTAGTGAAAGACTATAACTGCAATTCATATCTCATTTATTTCAGAACAACCCAGCTGACTTTTAATAGGATTGCTTTATAATAATTGTAGCTTGATTGTGCCTATTTATGTATGCTTCAGGCTTATGAAAAGCCATTCATTAAAACTAAGGTCCCAATTTATTTTGCTTGGTGGTAAAATCTACATATTCAAAAAGTAAAACATTATACTCTGGAATATTTCATAGCAATTGTTTCGAGTGACACATAATTTCTCTCAATTGGCTACTGCACTCAGTCGTCGATATCAGCCCACAACCATTCCGGATTATTTAAAGAGTTTTCCCTCGTGCAACCATCCATCTTTCTCCTGTGATGTCACCATTCCATAAAAACGCCTCTTGCAAGTTGCTGATATTTGAAAAACTGTATGGCCATTCAATTACATGTAATTTAAATAACAACAACAAACATAAATTAGACTGAGCTTGTGTAAATCATCCTGAAGAATCTCAGTGTGCTTGGCAAACAACACACTGGGGATACTTCATCCTCTCGCAGTGTGATCTATATGCACGGTTGGAGTGAAACTCATCAGTTTGAGAAGCTGCAGCCCTTAGGGATGCAAAACCACTTTTGCTAACTGAAGTGGATTTTTTAGTACCTTTGGAAGAATATGGCCCCGCCCGTGTAATTCCCGGTTGCTGCTGGTGCTGCTGTTTTTCTGTCAGGCCCTCAACCAAGGCACATGGGTCCATTAATCGTGGATGTCCTTAGTGAGTGGGTTTGCTCCAGTATGCTGTGGCAAAGCTAATCAGGACCCTGGAGTCCAGATCTTTGATAATGATCGAAGGTCCCAGTACTGTGTTTCCACCCTCTTCTTCTTCTTCTTCTTCTTCTTCTTCTTCTTCTTCTTCTTCTGGCATGCTTAGGGAAGCTTTGCACAAACTTAATTATTTCCATGACTTGACATCTGAGTTGTGGTCCCTTTTACAATACATACTGTCAGAGGGCCTAGAAAATGGCCCGCTGCTTTTGACAGTGATGGGGGCAATGCTGTGTTCCCTAAGGTGAGAAGAAAAAGCTCCACTCTTAGAGCTTAAACCTTCCTACCAATTCTTACTATTTTAGCATCTACTCACTCTTTTTTCTCTGCTGTCCAGGCCACAGTCTCCTAAGTACTGCTACTGATATCCTAGTTTGACCTGTAATGTTTATACACTGACTATGTATGCAAAATAGTCAAAGACTGGGACAATAGTAGAAAAGTGGAACATGTTCTATTAATGGTCAATAATCTAAATGTTCCAATCTAGGTACTTTAAAGTTAGATGAGTATTTTTTTTAAAAAGTGAAACTGCTGTTCCTCGATAATGTCAATGTTAGAATATATATATAATCTTCCAATCCTATATAAACGTGACCTTTCCCAGTGCAATTAGATGTGTACTTTTCTCATCATCTGATCACTCTCTCAGTTGGTTCTAAGGATCTATCTGTCTTTTAAAATATTTATTGCAATTACAATTAGCTTTGTAAAGATCTGAAATCTTAGATCAGGCAACAAAAGCAACAGAGAAAAAGATAGAGATACAGCCAGAATTGGATGCTAGAAAAATATATGCCTAAGAAGGTGCCAGAGCAGGAGTTGCTTGCAATAAAATAAAGTCTTGCACGACATAGTAAAGTCTTAACCCAAATAAAGTCTTAATTCAAAATGAATCAGGAATTAAATATTGCTGTTTTCCATGGTTTTCCTTTGCATAAGGATCCAAGGCACAAAGAAAGCATTCCAGAGATAAAATAAAGTCCAAAGATAGGCAGACTTGTATAATGCCATTCCAGGGATTTGCCCTTCCTGCACACTATGTATTGACATCCTGTTAATGCATCCTTGGTCAAGGTCAAAAGGACCCAATTAGAGATGGTATGAACCACTGAACCGGTGGTTTGTAATGGTTTGTCCTTTTGAATGGACAAGTGTTCTGCAGGCACCCTGGCTTCCCCGCCTCCTCAGCGGCTACCCACTCAGAGAAGGAGGCAGGGCAGAGAAGCCCAGGACACTGCCTCTGATTGGGTGCCCATTGGAGGAGGCAGGGAAGGGAAGCCGGGGCACCCACAGAACACCTATTCATCTGAAGGATGACCCAGTTCCTGCTCCAGAGGAACAGAAGTGCCTTCCCTCTCCAGCTTTATCTCTTTCTAAATTACATCTCAAGAAAACAGGTATTTTCCATAGGATATCTCACCCACTGGACTACAGTGTTTAGTTCATAAGGGGCCACACCTATAGCAGGTACACCTGATCCAAAGGTATTTGTCTCTACTATTATTTTCAAATATAGCTGTGACTGCTGTTCATAAGAATTCACGGATATGAGTTCTCAAAATACGCAGTCCATAAAATTATCAATCAATAGCAACTCTAAAGATATACACCATCTCAAGCATATCCATCCATCCATCCATCATCCATCCATCCATCCATCCATCCATCCATCCATCCATCCATCCATCCATCCATCCATCCATCCATCCATCCATCCATCCATCCATCCTGCTCTGTAAATCGATTATTGTTAAATAAATGCAGTGGTCAGAATGAGCTGGGATGGGATTTGAGCAATATGCATCCAGAGGTTGGAATGAAGGTCAGGCATGGAGGCAGACTAGATAAATATTAAGCAGAATGCATATCCCTCATAATAAGTTCATTTTTTTCACTGAGAATACAGTTTCCTCAGAGTTACATGGCTCAATAATCACAGGTGAAAATACAGCCCCTTTTTACCTTCCAGTGACTAATATCTGAATATGACAATATGTCTTAAGTGAAGAAAATCACATGCTATGACAGACATGCATCTTTCCTCACTTTAGGGAGGGTTTCTGCAAGAAATATGAGAAATATATTATCCAGTTTGGTCATCAGTAATCTTTTGTGTGAGAGGAGGAGTTCTGAAAATGCACAGCCCTTTTCACCTGCGGACTCGTTAGAAGGATGCAATAGCTGACATGTTGCTGGTTTTACATTCATTGACACTATTTAAACAGTCATGCTTCTTGCTTCTAGCACATATACGTTACACAAGATAGACTAAACAAATTAAAATCATGATATAAAAATAAATAAGACAAAATAAAAATTCATAAACTGAAAATATAGCAACAATATAAATTAACTGGGCACAGACAGAAACAACAGAGAAAGCACAGTTTTCCATACTTGGTCTTTTATGTTTCCTGGTCTGACAGGGAATTTCAATCTCACTTTTTCTCTCTCATACATAACAATGATTTTCCTATTCTGTTCAACCCAGGTATACAGAAAGTTTGACTGACCCCAGCTATCATGGGCAGATTCTCACAATGGTTAATCCCATCATAGGCAATGGTGGAGTTCCAGATACTACTGCTTTGGATGAAATGGGTCTCAGCAAGTTTTTGGAGTCTGACGGCATCAAGGTAAATGGAAATAAGCTCAGCACTGATTAAATTTATTTATAAATAAAGATTCCTGAGTTTGCCAGTGACAAGTCTATGGGTATGCTTCATATTTCTTCTCTGTGTGTAAACACTAAAAGAACATTGCCAGAACTCTCTACAAAAAGTTCTAGAGAAAAATGTTTCAAACTCAAGATGAGTATTATGCTAAACATCAAATGTTACCTGCTTCATTACAGGATTGGCTTCAGGTTTTATTTTAAAATTATTCTGTGCAGACATCTTTGCTGTTTCTCTTCACAGGCTTCAGGCTTGCTTGTGTTGGACTATAGCAATGAATACAGTCACTGGAGGGCTGTCAAAACCCTTGGGGAATGGTTGAAAGAAGAAAAGGTAAGGAATCATTACATAGCCAAGGGGAATTTCATTTCCTGTGAAAAGAGGTTTTTAAAAGACTGACTGTTGAAAAGAAGAAAAGGAGAGCAATTGTGACACAAATGAGCAGCCATGTTTGGATTTTTTTCCCCCCTGAAATCCCTTCTTCAAACCATAGTAGACTTCCTACAGAACTAAAACAGTCTTGGAAGTCTTTGGCTTCATGACTGTTTTAAAGCCCTATGGTAACTCTTGTATTTTCATCTTCGTCTGCCTTCCCAGCCTGCTACCTGCATGCTGGAGTTCAGTCTTTGTTGTATTTGGAATGTCAAATTGTATCTTAAATTATTTCAGTTGTCAAAGCTTCCTTTCCATAGTCCCATCCTCTTCCTGCAAATCATTGTTTTGAAGGGTGTTCTTGAAATGGACACTCGTTCCCACTTTCCAGAAAAGCTAGGCAACTGTAGTTTAGAAGTCACACATAGCTGGATGTATCTCGCAACAGGGATGTATCATTGTGTTTCCAGGATTCTCTGGGAGAATAAGTTTAGAAGTCACACATAGCTGGATGTATCTTGCAACAGGGATGTGTTTCCAGGATTCTCTGGGAGAATAATGTGCTATTAATTCAATTTAACTTTGGAATGTAGGTTTGTGGTGGAATTCTGGCCAATATATGTTAATACACTAGCAAAATATTCAGTATGCAGTACCAACTGCAACCCAAAAATGTAGGGTGCAAAACCTCTATTATTATTTATAATGATAATTTTAGATCTTGCAACAGGGATGTGTTTCCAGGATTCTCTGGGAGAATAATGTGCTATGAATTCAATTTAACTTTGGAATGTAGCTTTGTGGTGGAATTCTGGCCAATATATGTTAATACACTAGCAAAATATTCAGTATGCAGTACCAACTGCAACCCAAAAATGTAGGGTGCAAAACATCTATTATTATTATTAATAATAATAACTTTAGAACTACCGAGCTGGAAGGCACCTTATGGGTCATCAATTTCAGCCTCATTATGGCTGTGAGATAGGCTTTTGTCTATTTCTGTAGATGGGTGATTAGTGTGTATTGTTTTAGAACTACTGAGCTGGAAGGCACCTTATGGATCATCAATTTCAGCCCCAGTCAAGGAGGCACAGTGAGGAATCAAACTCCCAACCTCTGGCTCCACGGAAGATACCTAAACCACTGAGTCCCACCACATGTTACGCTCAAGATAGTGACATAACAATTGGGCTTTGGAGCATATTATCAATATCCTTTTGATCTCCTAGCTGTCTTTGAGATTAATGTTAATTTCGCTGCTGTTGTTTGTTTGATTTCCACAGGGAGTTGGTTTCAATGTTCTGATGGAAATACTCCCAAATTTCCATTACTAATTTTTACTCTGTTTGCGTTTCTGTCTTTATAGGTCCCAGCTCTTTATGGTATTGATACCAGAATGCTCTCTAAAATGATTCGAGACAAGGTAGGCAGAAAACTAAGAAACAGTGCTTTGTACAGGGGGAAAGGCAAACACAGTTTATATATTTTTAAATTGAGCCTGGATGGCTTATGCACATACCTTATAACAATTCAGACCATTCCTCTGTCTAGGTTTGCATTGACTAGAATAAGGATCCAACACAAACAGATGGATCTGTGCCCCCCTTCAAATGTGCCACGGCTCCCCCAGGGATATCGAGAAACAGTGCTTTGTACAGGGGGAAAGGCAAACACAGTTTATATATTTTTAAATTGAGCCTGGATGGCTTATGCACATACCTTATAACAATTCAGACCATTCCTCTGTCTAGGTTTGCATTGACTAGAATAAGGATCCAACACAAACAGATGGATCTGTGCCCCCCTTCAAATGTGCCAGGTCTCCCCCAGGGATATCACCCCTCTCGAGAATGGCTGCTCTAAAATGACTGACGGTGGTTCTTCAGGGTTTCCGAAGGTTTCCTAGCTGTGTCTGGACGTGGCAGGCAATCTGGGATCTTTTTCATGCAGTGCATGTACTTTGTCACTCAGCTACACGTCTTCCGCAGGAAGCAGAATGGTAGTACAATGAGCTTTAACTTCCTGCTCCAGATCACTTAGGAGAGCAGTATTCTTTATGCACAGAATAAATGGTCCTTCAGTATTTAAACAATAGTTTAACATCCAAGGCATGGTACTGTGGACATTATGCTGAGACTTACTAAGAGATGTTGCTTGAAGATTGCATAAAGTAGGCTTTCTTTTTCTCTATAATTTTTATCAGACTGAAACCTAGTTTATATTTTATTCCTTCCACACAACTTTGGGTGGGAAACAGAAGCCTGTCTGTTCCACTGAGAACAAATACAGCCAAATGCAATTGTAAACGCTGGCAAAGGCAGGGCTTCAGTAGTCTGGAGCTCTAATTGTATTTATTCGAATAGGATTATCTCTTTCCACATCTTCTCCATATGTATGGGGAGGTCAGTAGTAGATGGAGCTGGAATGTACCCCCAGCTTGCTTTAAAAAAAAAACATGGTGTGTGTGTGTGTGTGTGTATTAGAAGTGCAGGGGATGTTTTCCTGTGAACACTAATAGTTATTGGGCTACGAAAAGCAGTGTCAGGGGGCTTCTGGGACTGTGGCTTATTATGATTCTTATGGGTATAAGATAGTCACCTTGGCTGTGTCAATTTTCTCCTATCTTCACTTAACATTTTTCTTGGCCATGCATTTCCATGGTGAGGGAGGGAGCCCTTGGGAAGCACAACTTACTGCCTAGATTTCTATCATGCCCTCTTGCACAGGAGCAGTGGGAATCAGTAGAGGAAGAGAGAGAAAAATAAACACCTCCCCCCAATCCTTTTGCCCAAGGACAAAGATGAGGAGGGAGAGGTGAACATCTGTGGTGGCAGCTGATGGGCAAGAGCTGGCAGCATACCTGGCCATCTCGTTGTCTTGTGCATGAGGATGCACTGCCTTCCCTCTCCAGCTGGAGGAGGCTGCATGTTTCACACCAAAGGCCAGAGGTGTTTCTTCCTTAGACTCAAGGCAGTGTGGAAAGGGTGGCCTGAGAAATGACCTCTGGTGGTGATGTGGATGGAGAGTGTTTGCTCTGCAGTCTAAAAATAAATGACTTTTTTTAAGGACAGAGAAATTGCAGTTGCCTTTGGTTTCTTTTGAAAAACACTTTAGACAGCATAACATTCAATTTAAAATTGGAAGCATAAAATAAAAGATGCTAGACTTCATCCTGTTAGTGATTTTGTCTATCAGTTTCTGATGCTACTGTTCTTTCTTATTTGCAATCACCTGTTTCCATTTTTTAAAAAACTTTACTTTTAAATTTTGATAGGGCACTGTTCTTGGGAAAATTGAATTTGAGGGTCAGCCTGTGGAATTTGTGGATCCAAATGAGAGAAATCTGATTGCAGAAGTGTCAACCAAGGTAAGGAGTCCATTTTTTAAGAGCAGATACCTTCGGTTGTTCTGTACAATTTGGTTATCTATATTTCATGCCAGTGAAATGACTTCTGCATGCAAATAGCTGTGCATGCTGTTTGGGGCTGGCATGTATACCTACCACTGTTTAATGGGGTTGAAAAATGCTTCTGCCCAATATTCTATGGCATTACATTAGATTACAAATCTCATAGTTACCTTAGAATCAAATCAGATGTCAAGGGGAATATGCATTTCCTGAAATCAGCTCATTTTACCTCCCACAGTATGTTTTCCTCAGTTACAAGGGCTTTGACAATCAGAGCTGCAGAATAAGCCTGTGTTTAACTTGCAGTCACCAATCACAAAATAAAGCTAAATGCAAAATACACAGATGAGGAAAATCACATGCCATGAAAAATAAATGTCTTTCACTACTTGAGGGTGCACCTGTTCAAAACTTGTGTTATCTTGTTTGAAGCCTTTTAGACAAATTTGTGTGAGGTTATTATGCTTCTGTCCAGAGAAGGAGTGGGTTGGGTATGCTTGGCATGCTCCTATGATATCTAAGTGGCCTGGAGTAGTCCCAGGCAAGGTTACTTGTGTCTCATAAACCCTCACAAAGTGCCAATAATGACAGGCTGGAGAATGAGAGGACGCGTCCTTTGACCTACAGAGTATTCGTGGTCACTTGCCATGGAAGAGAAAGGCTGAAGGATTATATTTTACCGCGGGTATGCATCATTCTATCTGGGGATTGCTTGATGTCTTTTGAAAGTCTGCAGATGAGTGAGGCTGTTGGATCTGCATGTGAGTTGAGGCAGATTTATATCTCTGTGAGAGAGGGGTTGCTCACTACTTAGGATGAGTAGAACGATGAAAACTCTCCTTCCTGTCTTCTGTTTGACCCACTTTATTCTACAATTTTGTTGCAGATTTCTGTATTTTTCCTGAAAGGTGAAAATGTTACCAGATAGAGTTGGCAGAGAGATTATATACAAACGTTTTCTAATTGATAGAAATATTGTATACATTAGATTCCCGGTTATATACTTTATATACACTGGACTCTCATTTCTAGACCTTTCCAGGTTACCCATCAATCGGGTTATATTCTTGCCTGAATGTTTGGAAAAGCAAAAACACTTTCTTTCTCACTCTCATCCCACAGCTGATATTATCCCTCAATTAACACTGTATGAGGGAACTGGCTAGGAATGGCCTAGAAAATTGCTTTCTTAGGAGATAAACTACAGGTGTTACCTCCTGCCCCCCTTTGTACTCACTTATTGTTGAAGGCACAGCCATTTTCCCAGGCACACACAGAGATGGCCCCGATTTCTAAGATGGATCCCAGTTCCCCCATTTTTTTCAGTTTCTTCACAACTGCATTCTAATTAATGAATTGATATAGGACATGATTTTGCTTTAAAATGTTGGCTGACTAAAATCATTTGAGCATCGCTAGTCGAAACAAGACATGATAGTGAATACAGTGCTACCAGTGAAAGCCATCTCCTTGGGAGTTTTCTTTGTGACCAGCCCAATCTGGCTAATCACCTTTAACCTGCTCCTTTCTTTTTCTGGGCTTGCTTACAGCCTAATAAAATGAAAACTGAGTGGAGTTTTCAAATGAACCAAATTGTCATTTTATTAACAGCATATTGGTTAAACAAAAGTTACAGTACTCATGTGTGGTTACAATTTTCTTTGCAGCTTGGATCTTACACTTTAGGCAACTAATCATCAAACCAACTGCTTCAGCCAACTGCTCAACATAACTCTCCTTTTCTCTCCTCTTCTTACTTTCAATAATATATCTTCTGCTGGTGCCAGCTGATTGGTTTTCACCTCAGTCACACATCAGCCAGTCATGAACCAGTGGTGAAGTTTGCTGGGCAAACTTCACCACTGCTATGAAATCAGCAGTTTTCTTTTCCCCTTAATTTCTTCGTGGGAGTCATGCACCCTTAACTCAGTTCACTACCATACATAAAGAACCATACCTGTGATGTAGAATCATAATATTCAATACCTTTACTATTTTTTATATTACATACACAATATCAATTATATAGGGTTATACATTACTTATATTCTTCAACAATATTTATCAAGCAACACATTTCATAATACAGCATCACTTTGCATAACATTAATTTACCTTACAATACAATTCTTTGCTGTATTTTATTAAGTTACATTTACATTCTATAACATAACTTTATGTTAATATTACATTTACATAAATTACCTTTCCCCTTTTTATTTCATCTTCTGGTCTCCTGGAGAAAGCATCAGGTACGATATTCTTTCCTTTTATGCTTTGCATCTCAAATTTAAAATCTTGCACCAATAACAACCTCACCAATGTTGAATGGTCTGTAAACAAAGTGAATTTTCTTCCCCATAGGTATGGTTTCAAGTTACTAATTGTCCAAACAATAGCTAAACACTCATTTTCTATAATTGTTAAATGCTTTTCCCTAAGCTGTAGTTTCTTGCTTATATATGTTACTGGTTGCAATATTCAATCTTTCTCACTCTGGCTTAAAACCACCCTATTCCTGTACTGGATGAATCAGTAGTGACTATGAAGTTTGTTCTTCAAAATCAGTTGCAATTAATACAGGTTCACATGTTAATGCTTCCTTTAATTTTACAAAGGCTTCTTGACATACTGGAGTCCAAATTATTTTATCTGGGTTTTACTTTTTAGTCAGTTCAGATATTGGCACTGTTCCTTCACTAAACTTAGGTATGACTCTTCTATAGGAGACTAGGTAAAGGTAAAGGTTTCCCTTGACATTTAGTCCAGTTGTGTCCGACTCTAGGGGGCGGTGCTCATCCCCATTTCCAAGCCATAGAGCCAGCGTTTGTCTGAAGACAGTTTTTGTGGTCATGTGGCCAGCGTGACTAGACATGGAACACCGGTACCTTCCCACTGAGGTGGTACCTATTTATCTACTCTCATTTTTACATGCTTTCGAACTGCTAGGTTGGCAGGAGTTGGGACAAGTGATGGGAGCTCACTCTGTTGCGTGGATTCGATCTTATGATTGCTGGTCTTCTTGCAGCACAGAGGCTTCTGCGGTTTAACACGCAGCGCCACCATGTCCCACCTATAGTAGCCTGCTAACCCTAAAAATGATTGTATTTTCTTCTTGGATGTAGGCAGAGGCCAATTAACAATGGATTCTACTTTTGACTCAAGAAGCTTTATTTTTCCATTCCTTGCTATATAACCTAGATATTTCACTTCATATTTACCTACATGGCATTTTGTAGCTTTGACTGTTAACCCTGCTTTCTTAATTCTTTGTAATACTTCTTCTAAATGCATCATGTGATCATTCCAAGTTTGACTGAAAATTCCTATATCGTCAATATACGCCACAGTAACTCTCAATATCTTATCCACCAATCTTTGAAATGTTGCTGGGGTATTTTTCAGTCCAAAAGTTACAACTGTGAATTCAAATAAGCCTTGCAGAGTCACAAAGGCTGTCTCAGGTTGATCTTCTGGATTCATTTTTACCCTCCAGTAACCCCTTGTTAAATCCAAACTGATGATAAAACTGGCTTTTCCTATTCTCTCCATCAAATCATCAGCTCTTATCATCAGATACACATCCACTTACATCATCTGGTTCAACTTCCTATAATTTGTACAAAATCTTACTCTTATTGTCTGGTTTGTCTATTAGCACTACTGGTGCTTCCCATGAACTCTCTGATCTCATTATAATGACTACTCTTAACTTATCCTCTAATTCTTTAGTTATTTTGTCAGCATATTTTCCTGTAATTTTATATGGGGCAACCAAAATCGGTTTTGCTTCTACTGTGTTTATTCTATGTTCTACACCTTCAGCTCTCCCTGGTTTGTTTTAAAATACTTCCTTATATTTAGGTAACAATTTAATTACTTCCTCTTTCTGTACTTGTGTTAATGACTTATCAAAATTCACTTTGTATGGATTAAATATAGGTTCCTCATTTCCCTCCCAACATGGTAAATCTGGTTTCCCAACTCCATCCTCTTTTACTGCATACAGCACCAAATTTTCTCTTTTAAAATAGGGCTTTAACATGTTTGTGTGCACTACTCTAGTGCTTCCATCACCCTTCTTAGTAATGTAATTCACATTATTCATTTTTGACAGGATCTTCACTGGATCCATTCAGGCTATTTGTAACATATTCCCCCTTACAGGATGCTGTATTAACACCTCATCTCCTGGATTATACTCTCTTTCTCTAGCTCTTTTATCATACCATGTCTTTTGTTGAGTCTGTGCCTGCTGTAAATTTTCCCCTGCACTGTTCAATGCTGACTTCAAAGTACTGTATTTAATAAGTTATACATGTATGTTAATACAGTCTCTGGGTCAATTTCATATTTTTCCCAATTTTGTCTTAATAAATCTAGGGGTCCTCGGACTCGTCTTTCCAAAAAACAGTTCAAAAGGACTATATCCTAAAGTTTCTTGAGGCACATCTCTATAAACATATAATAAGGGCTGTAATTTTTCATCCCAGTCATATGAGTTTTCTGCCATATACATTTTGATCATTTTAAGTAGTGTCCTATTAAATCTCTCCACTAAACCATTTGTTTCAGGGTGGTATGGCGTTAAATGTTTAATTCCTCATGCTTGCCAAGACCTCTGCATAAGTTTAGATGTAAAGCTTGCTCCCAAATCTGTCAACATTTTAGTGGGAAACCCCATCCTGTACATAACATTTATCAAGGCGTTCACTACTGTTTTGGTTTCAATATTTGTGAAGTCTCTATTTCCTCTTCTAGTAATATGAGGTGTTGTTTTTGTTTAATCATTAAGTCGTGTCCGACTCTTCATGACCCCATGGACCAAAGCACGCCAGGCCCTCCTGTCTTCCACTGCCTCCCGGAGTTGGGTCAAATTCATGTTGGTAGCTTCGATGACACTGTCCAACTATCTCATCCTCTGTCGTCCCCTTTCTCCTCTTGCCTTCACACTTTGC